TATATATATATATATATATATAATATTTGCATTTTTTTGTATTTACATTTAATCATTTCCTATGATGATAGCTTCGTGAAAGATGGGTCTACTTTCATTAAGATGCTGTCCCTGATTTCAATACAAATGGCAGCAGTAGTAAAATCCGCTCCGTTACCAGACTTGTCACCCAATTTAGATTCTCCTAAACCAACAATTAAACAATATAACGGAGAAAGTGAACAACTGTGCATGACATTGTCCGCTGGCTTGCCGCACTTTACAACCGGTTACATGAGAAATTGGGGAAGAGACACATTCATTTCTTTAAGAGGGTTACTCATACTAACAGGAAGACATGTAGAAGCAAGATTTATCATTCTTGGTTATGCAGGAACTTTACGACATGGTCTGATCCCTAATCTACTTGACAAAGGAAAGAATGCCAGGTGAAGAACGGAATAATTACATTTAATAGTTTAATAGGTTATCTAGAAAATATGAAAATGATTATAAATTATGAAACGTTGTTTTAGATACAATTGTCGAGATTCTCTGTGGTGGTGGCTATACACGATTCAGTGTTACATACAAGAAGTACCGAATGGTTTGAAAATTTTAACTGATAAAGTTTCCAGATTGTTCCCAACTGACGATTCACCAGCATTGCCTGCAGGACAAGTAGTACGTATGATTACTCCCCTCTAAAACAGTTTATAAATATATTTATTACGTGTAATATATTTTGCAATGTATTTTCAGGATCAACCATTGCACGACATTATCCAAGAGGCTCTGTCAACACACTTCCAAGGACTTTGCTTCAGGGAAAGAAATGCCGGAAGACAAATTGACGAGCAAATGACCGACCGTGGTTTTAATAATCAAATTGGAGTGCATCCAGAGACTGGATTCATATTTGGAGGAAATGACGCTAACTGTGGTACTTGGATGGACAAAATGGGATCTTCTGAGAAAGCTGGCAATAAAGGGAAACCTGCTACACCAAGAGATGGTTCAGCTGTAGAGATAGTGGGACTCAGCAAGAGTATTCTGAGTTTCTTGGCTGAATTGTACAAACAAAACCTTTTCCCTTACGGCAGCGTGCAAAGAAAGAACCGCGATGGTGAGGCAAAAGTTTATTTTCTTCCATATTTTTATCTTTTATACGTATCGTTATTCGATTCTTCATTTTTATTTTCTTTCTTCCTATTTTAATGTAATGTTTCATAGGATCTGTCGTAACCTGGAGCTACAAGCAATGGGCGGACAAAATTTCATTGAACTTTGAAAAATACTTTTATGTCAATGAAACCCCAACTGAAAACGAATTAAAGCCAGAGCTAATCCATCGCCGTGGGATTTTTAAAGATAGCCATGGTGCGACACAAGCATGGGCTGATTATCAGTTGCGACCTAACTTCCCCATCGCTATGGTAGTTGTAAGTATTATAGTTATACGATTTATTTTTCTAAGAAAACGTATAGTCGGTTTTAACTGTACAGTATTAAAATACTATAAATTATTATTCGAACAGGCTCCAGAATTATTCAACCCGCAACACGCATGGACGGCATTAAAGAAAGTTGAAGAAATTTTGTTAGGTCCACTTGGAATGAAGACATTAGATCCTGCTGACTGGGCTTACAATGGATATTATGATAACTCTAACGATAGTGGTGACACTAAGTTGGCCCATGGTTGGAATTACCATCAAGGCCCTGTAAATAACATATTCACTTAATTATCAAGTATTTATCGTCCTAAAGTACCTTGTAATAAAAATAACTGTTTATTCTATTCGATAGGAATGGGTCTGGCCTATGGGGTATTTCCTTCGAGCTCGATTATACTTTGCCCCATTAGTTGGTGGAAAAGAAGAATTGCTGCGTACGATTGAGTCAACCGAAACTATTCTCTCTCGACACTTCATAGAAGCTTCCACGAATCACTGGAGAGGCCTTCCTGAATTGACTAACAAAGATGGCGAATATTGCAAAGACAGCTGCAGAACTCAAGCTTGGAGCGCTTCTGCTATACTAGAGGTTTACATCAAAATTATTATATATTTTTAACATAAGCACTACCATGAAATCTCTAACATAGAACTCTCTTTATTTTTCATAATAACATAATTCACTCCTCCGTGTACACAACCCTCAATATTTTCGGTTTCAGGTTCTTTACGACTTAGATAAAACAAAACGGGAGTTACGTTCCGAAGAAGTTGAAAGAGCTAATTGATACAGTTTTGCGTGTGTTCACCACCGCCAGTTACACTTAGAACATTTGCGACTAGAGGAAGAACGTAGGTATAGAAATAGGGAACACGACGACAAATTGCATCATTCGAACACCGTCGTAGGTACACAACGCACGGAGACACACGCATACGGTATTTCGCACGTAGAGAAAACAAGTACCCCACCGTGCAAATTTATAACCGCTGATATCATTTCTACGAATGAGGGTTTGTTCTCGATCCACGAGTCCGAGGAAGACGGAGGCGGGTTAGACGTCAAGCACGAATACGTATCTCCTGCTTTCCTTAGCAACTTAGAGGCAATAGAAACATTATCGAACACCACGGACCTTTCAACGAAATCAACCGGCGAAACACAGAAACCGGCGCAGGCCATCTACGGAAACGAATCCTCGAAATACTCGGTCAAATTTTTAAACAAGTACCAAGACGAACCGATCGATCGCAGCGATACGCTCTCAAAAGAAAACGCGGAGGTCAATAACGCTAATGTAAAGTATCCGATGAAGACAGACCACGTTTACGAAGAGGTTAACGCATTCGAGTGTGACATAATGGATTATTACGAAAAATATAGTCCGACGACCGCGAAGACTCTAATAAATACGTTGTTCCTTCCTCGACAGAAGATTTGCAAACAATGCGCCGACTTGCAGAACAGTCCGGTGTACACCGACCAATTAATATACGGAAAGAAATCGTTGCTCGCTAGGGAAGTCCATCTGTTTCAACAAAACGACACTTTATGCTATAAATATTCCCCGGAGAATGGTAAACGTGACGGCACATTATTCTCGCAATACGATAATACTCAGCACCGCTTGTTAGTTTATAATTGCGTGAAGACGAACGCATCCAGCATATTTTATTCTTACGGATCGGTTAAGGACACCTTCGACATGAAAACGGCACTGGCGCCGAACATTCTACTCGCCGGCAACCGAACGAAGGGTATAGTTAACACGGATTTGTATCACCGCTGCGCAAGCAACTTTTATACAAGAATGTCGAACAGCGGCGTCGCGCCCGCGTTCCGTATAAACCACAATAACATTCTGAGCACCATAAAGCACGTCGGTTACGACACGGACCTGCAGAACTGGATGAACTATCGCAACGACGTGTTCCGATCGCACGGTTTCAAGCAAGACGATATGATCGAGTACCGGGCGAACAGGTCCAGTTTGTTGTTGCTGGAACCGTTGCTGCTGATGCCGGAGTTCACGAGACCCAGAAACGGACACGGGAAGAATCGCTACGCGCAATCGGAGCATATGAAAATAGTGAAAATAGTAATTGCTTACACCCTCTCATTTTTCATCATAGCAACGATTACATTTTACATAGTTTATTTCACTTGAAGGTAATATTATTCGTTGGGAATACGAATTGCATTAAGTAGCATCGTTGGGAGTTCCTACTTAAGACGATTGAACGATAAATTGAATTTCGGTTTCTAACTTAGAATTCAGAGGATCGGGTAACAAAATTTATAGAGATTTCAACGGAGCAGTGATAGAAATTCAAGTTTGAGAA